TTTCAAAGAAATGTGGAACCAGCAATTTATTGTGGTAAAAATATTTTCATGCACTTGCTTTTTCTGTGAAAATATTTTTCGCACATGGATGACTAGTACTACAAAGTTAGCTTTCACCACCTTCACATCAACTCATTTTAGAACATTTGGAAAATGATACCCTTGAAATGAGAAAATTATGTAAGGAAAAGAGCAGTCTGTAACAACTTGTGGAGGATTGGGTTTGAAGCTCAAACTGAAGATTTTTCCTGTCATATGATTAAAAGCTGGGCGTTCTTTAAGTAAGCTAACTCAGCTTTTTGAGGAAAAGACTTCCTACATCACTCATTTCTATTCCCCCTACCCTGTGAGTCTTTTATTGTCACATACTAAACTAACTTTATGAATTTTGTAGATAAGCTTAGAAATGGTATAATACAAAGGACTTGATGGGTGAGAGTCTTTTTAAGCAGACAGTAGGAATTTGGGTATTATTGAAAGGTCAGGGGTCTTTCTTCTAGATATGGAATATAGATGGCTGGCATCATCACATATATGAATACACATGAGAGTCAGCATGAAGTAACAGACACTGTGGGCTTTGGAGTTTGTCTGAACCTGGATTCTGCATCTCCTCTGTTAAAACCTCTTTAGTTGCTCCCCATGATTCTAAAGCAAGAATGATCAGAGGGTTTATTAAAACTTGGAATGCTGGCCCACTCTCCCAGAGTTTCTGATTCTAGGGAGGAACTTGACAATTTGCATTTCTAACAGATTTCTAGGTGATGGTGCGCTGCTGGTCCAGGGACCACACTCTGAGAACCATTGACTCTTGATTCAAGAGAGTAAGTTGAGAGTTACAGCATATAATAGAGGGTCTACTCCTTTCTACCCAGGCTTATATCTGCTATTCTCCCCTGAAATATTAAACTTCAGCCATGTCTCATGTTTTCAGTTCGCCAAAAGTGCCCTTTTATTTTGTACTTCTATATCTGATGCATTAGCTGTTTCTTTTGCTGACTTCCCTTCTCTTCTTTGTCTACCTGATGAATGCCTGTTCATTCTTCAAGATCCAACTCTAGCATCCCACTTTCTCTATACAACTGCCTTCATTTCTGGAGATGGTTAATGACTCTTTCTGTATCATCACACTGCTTTGCAAATACTTCTATTGTGCTTATTATGTGTTAAAGTGAAGTTGCAACATATATGCATTATTATTCAAATTGAACTATGCATGTTCAGTGGAGGGAGTGAGGGTGATTTAAAGAGTGGGGATTGATTTTGTTGAACCAATCCATGTACAACATGTGTGCTCTGGAGAGGGTGTGAGATGGAAGATAAGAATCTGCCATTCCCTTGGTAGGTCTCATCCTTCTTGCCTCTCAAAGTGTGTAGGCATCTCCTCATGCTAAGCTCTACTTTTTGTACATTGTGAGCTTTAAAAACAAGCCCACCCATTCATCTGGTCCCTAACTGAAGAATCAGTGACCCATTTCAATGCTGGAGAAAAAACTGTCTGTGGTCAATTTTTTGAGAACATGTTGAAGATAACATTGTACTTTATGGTTACTTTCAAGGATTCGAAGGGATAATTTTGACCAAATATGATTTCACTTTATGTGCTGACTTTTAGGGTCCATTCCCCTTGTAGGATGGGTTTTTATTATGTATGTATATTTACTCATCTTTCTTCCTGTGCTAGATTACGTGTACTCTGAGGCAGGCTTCATGCCTCATTCATTTCAGTTATGGCTTTATGGAGGATGCTCTGTGTTGGCTCATTACATACTTATGAATAGATGAATGAACTAACAAGTGAAAAGTTGAGTTGGGTGATCTTACTATAGAGCGGAATATGTAGATTCTTTTTTCCTGGACAATCATGGACTGATGGAATATCAAACATGGAAGGCAGTTTGGGATTATCTAGTTAAAACCAATTTTTACTGATTGGTCTCAGAAAAGCAGTGATTTCCTCAACATTTCTTCCATTTAATCATTCTGCTTATCCTTTCCCGGATAGTTTCCAGTTTAGCCAAATCCCTTTTCAATTATGATAACTAGATCAGACATAATATTCTGGTATTACTACTCTTGTCTCTGTGGACATATTTCCCATTTGGCATATGCATTTACCCTAATTTTAATTTATTTTCAGTATTTTGTTGACTCTTTTCATCATAAAGAAAAATGAATGATTATGTACTTGTTCCTTCAACAAGGGCAGAAACAATGTTTTATTCATCTTTGTCTCTTCTATGTTTGGGGCAATAATTGGCACTTGGGCATTCAAAAATTTTGCTATTGTTGAAATGAATTAACTGGGAGAAGCTTTGAATTAGTTATTTGCTCCCTTTTTCATCTTAGAATCACAGTGCTACTATGGACCTTTGGAGATCTAAGCTAACTCATGGCTTTTTAAGTAAGAAAACATTTATTTATCTTTGGCAAGATCTCTGTCCCATTTCAATTAGTTTCACAGAGGGAAATTCTAAAGTTTAAAAAATTATGAATATTTTAACATATCATACATTTATATTTTTTATAAGTAGAAATATTTTGTATCATTTTATCATAAACACAAATAATTCTAATTTTCCTTTTGTTGTTTTTCTTTGCTTTTCTGTAAAGTACTTCTTTTTTTTTTTTAATTTTTTACATTTCTTTTTTACTTCTTTCATGCTAAGAATTGCCTTTAAACCTCTGGTACTTCTTTTTGACCAGGTCCTCTCCTCACTTTCATGTACTTACGTCCTTCAGCTTTTCTTCTTCAGAATGGATACACTCGGCCCCTTTACCCACTAACTCCATTCAGACTTTAAATATTTTTGTGAGTGCATATGAGTAGCAGAACCTAAATCACACATGAAACCGTAGCTATAGGGAGTCTGGGAAATACAGTTGTTAGTTTTCCAGGCTTTGCATTTCAGGAGATTGGAATGGATCCTGAGTGAGCCCGTCCACAGCATGTACAGCAAGCCTTAACTAATATTATGTGTCAATCCTAGGTTTAAAGCAGTTTCATAGTCATAAATCCCAGGGCTCTGTTGTAAGCTCATTAGGGGACTTGCTATAAAGCCATGAAGAGATCATTTAACCTCTCTTGGCTGCAGTTTTGCTTTGTAAGTAACTATAGAAGTAATTTCTAACCGCCTGCCTTAAAACTTGCTTTGGTCCCTATGCATTATGGGGACAGTCTCCCCTCCAGAAAGGTAGCACTTACTACACTAAACCTGGTTGTGATAGCAACAGCTCTGAGATAACAGCCTTCCCAGAGTGTGGTGATGGTTCTGTTTGTGGGATGTGAGCAGTCCACCTCACCAGCTACCGGGAGACTCTTCCTAGAACACAAATTGGAAGTAACTATGTTACTGTCCTGCTTAGGATTTTTTTCATGCTTCCCTGTTTCCCAGAGGATTAAGATAAAAACTGTACTTTTTATAATGGCATGCAAAGCCTTTTGTGATCTGGTTCTCTCTTACCTACTCCAAGTCTTTCTTCTCTGTTCCTTAAACTATGCCAACTGTAGCTAGTCTAGTTCTAGTACAGTTGCGTTGAACTGCTTAGAGTTACCTACATATGACATGTTGTTGCTTAATGCCTCTTTGCCTTTACTAGTAAAACGAGAGTAAATAAGAGCATAAGCTTTGGAATCAAAACACCTTGGGTTTGAATCCCAGCTACCCTAACTTCATAGGGTCATTACTTAGCAAAGTACTTGGGATAAAGAAAGGGATCTAAGTACATGCTAGTTTTATTAAGGAAACTTTATACATAATTTACTGCTAATTATTCTTACTTATTCATTGAGCTATACTTGTCATTTTGGGGAAAAATTTTAGCCCTGAGGCTTTTTGGACTGTGGACTGATACTCATCTTGAACTCTATTTTCTACTTTAAATTCTTAGAAGGGGAAACAGTCACACTTTAGATATGTGATATTATCTGACATTAAAATAAAAAATACTTATCTATACATATACCCATACTTCTAGCTCCAATTTTACTGTGAAATTCTGCCATTTATTAAATTATAACTGTAGTATATCTAGCAATCCCTTAGTAGAACTTGAAAGAATTAATGTTCTACTTAGAACACTTACTGATCCAAGGGGAAGAGTTTAATGTCTTCTACTGCCTGGCTAAATATGTATAAATTAGTCTACATGAATAATCAGTTCACTGAAAGTACCTAAAATAAGTGAATATTCAGAAAAAGAGACTTGATTTTAAATTTGGAGGACAAATGGGACAAGACACGGTCAGTCTAACATTTACTTCTCATGGAGGTGGAGGCTCCAAAGATGTCCAATGATTTACCTAGAGTTACAGAGCTACTTATTCATAAGCTGACATCAAACTCAAGACTCCTGACCTGTTGTATATTAACTGGCTGGCTTTAAATAAAAGTTGGCAACATTTATAATTACTGAGAAAAGCTCAGAAATGTTATTCTGTTTTACTTTTTTTTTTTTTTTTTTGTCATAGTGTGAGGAATGGTGTTGAAATAGTCTTAAATGAAGAACACATTGTACTTAGTTTTCTCCTTTTGGGCAAGAGAGATTATTAGCTTTCATGGTTCCTTGGCATGAAAGATACTGGAAGCATTATTTCTTCTTCCTTTACTCATTCTTCCCTAGTAATCCACCCCCTTCTAAGAGGGTAACATTTCTTCATAGAGACCAGGTGTGTATCTCTTTCTAGTTTTAAAGAATTGTAGAGATAAGATGTTTATACAAAGGGAATTTCTCCATAGCATACCCTGACACTTATTCATGGCATAAGTACATTGGTAAGGAAGGATTCAGTGGATTCCCTTACTTCTAGCCAAGGGTTCAGTGGATTCCCTTACTTTCTAGCTCATAAAAGGGAAGTGGTAATGATAAAAACACAAATCTCTGTGAGGGGGTGGGTATACATGTGCATATGTAAATATAAAGTCTTAGAGACTTTGTCTTAGAGACAGTGAGTTTCCGAATTTAAAAAATGTTTTAATTTCCATACATTTGCATTATAGACCTTTTCAGAGGCAATTAGATTTAATGGGGATTTTGGAGTTTTTGAAGTAATTAACGATGCTCCACAACTTCTGGAAAAGCAACTGAAAAAAATTCTACAAAGTCAGCAACCTCGAAATCCCATCTATGATGTTGTAAGAAAAGGAAAGTATGATGTTAAACCTGTTCAAATCAATGCTCACTATGAAGATGAGACCATCAATGTCAACTATAATATTATGGTAAGAAAGTATACTTATGTGTATATCTTGTTAGATTGAGAAAGTATTTGGTGAAATTAACATGAGTTTTGTTAGGCTTCCTTTTTGAAATGTTCCTGTATTTATTAAATTGTGTTGTACTTATGCATAGTATTTTGTTGTTGTTGTTATTGTTTTAATATAGATATATTTCTAAGATAGAGTCTTGCTGTGTTGCCCAGGCTAGAGTGCAGTGGCATCATCATAGCTCACTACAACCTCAAACTCCTGGGCTCAAGTGATTCTCCTTCTTTAGCCTCCTGAGTAGCTGAGACTACAGGCTTATGCCACCATGCCTGGCTAATTTTTAAAATGTTTTTATTTTTTACAGAGATAGGGTCTCACTGTGTTGCCGGGGCTGGTCTCAAACCCCTGGCCTCCTATGTAGGCCTCCCAAAGTGCTAAGACACAGGCATGAGTCACTGTGCCTGTCCTACACATAGTATTTATTAAGCACTATATTATCTTTTCAAATCTAATGGCTAGTTTAGTCTAGCAGTTTTGTTGATGTTCTGTTATCAGTATGAGAGATTCATGTAATTTACCTTGAATATTTAGAATATTAGGTTAGTTTGGGGCTGTATAAATATATGTATCTTTTATTTTATAGTTTAGATGTATTCTAGAAAATATGGGTATACAGAGAATTTATTTCATTTGAGTTTTAAACCAGCCCTATCAGGCAGTTGGGAATTGGGGCTTTGACCTCCTTGGCCTTAAATTCTATTCTCAGCTTCTAGATTTTGTCTCCTTAGCGTGAGGTTAGAACACCTGGGTTCTAATACTGGCTCTTCAGCTTACTAGCTCTCTGTCCTTGGATAAGTCACTTTGATAAACCTTGTTTCATCATCTGTCAAATGATGCCTTTACTACCTACTACGTAGGCTTGTTGTGTGGATCAAATGAAAATAATAACAAATCTTTAAAAATTGTATTTTCCATTGATTTAAAATGTCTGATAGAAATAGGCTAAAATACGCCTGACACTTAAGACATAGATCTACTTCAGCCTCTTCAGTTCTTCAAATATATTAATATTTAATAGCTTTCCTATTCACTCACATAAAGTTAAATGGTAATAATGATAACTATGTTAAAGCATTGTTTTGAAGCCAAAACAAGGAAAAATATTCTGAACTATATAGCACTATATAATTGTTAGTTAAAAACATTTTTATTGGGTATGACCCTGATATTTATTAGTTTATTCACTTCCTTCAGTGAATAGAAATCAGAAAGATCTACTAAGTAGTCTTAAACCAGTACACTTCTAAATAACCCATAGTTCAAAGATTAAGTCCCAAGGGAAATTAAAAATTATGTTGAATTGATAAAAATTAAAGTATAAGATGTCAAAATTTGGCGGATACAACTAAATTAGTCCTTAGAGGGAAATTTATAGCATTATGTGCTTATAATAGAAAATACTAAATATCTCAAATCTATGGTCTACTTTTCACTATAGTAAACTAGAAAATTAAAGTTAAATTAAACCACACAGAATCTATGAAATTGAAAACATAAAACAAAAGAGAAACATCAATGAAAATAAAGGCTTGTTTATTATTTTTTTCTATGAAAACATTAATAAAATTGGTAATTTTAGCTGTACTAATGAGGAAAAAAAGAGAAAAGATTTAAATGACCAATATCAGAGATGAAAGTGGGGATGTTATTACAGATCCTATAGACATTCAGTAAAAAATAAGGGACTTTTGCAAACAGCTTTATATCTACAAACTCAGTAAATTTAAATGAAGTAGACATAGTCCTTCAAAGACACAAATTACCAATGCTCACTCAAGGGGATATAAATAATCTGAATAATCCTATACCTATTTTTTTGTGTTTTTTTTTGAGACAGAGTCTCACTTTGTTGCCCAGGCTACAGTGAGTGCCATGGCATCAGCCTAGCTCACAGCAACCTCAATCTCCTGGGCTCAAGTGATCCTACTGCCTCAGCCTCCTGAATAGCTGGGACTACAAGCATGCGCCACCATGCCCAGCTAATTTTTTTGTATATATATTTTTAGTTGGTCAATTAATTTCTTTCTATTTTTAGTAGAGACAGGGTCTCGCTCAGGCTGGTTTCGAACTACTGACCTTGAGCAATCCGCCCGCGTCGGCCTCCCAGAGTGCTAGGATTACAGGCGTGAGCCACCATGCCCGGCTAATCCTATACCTATTAAAGAAATTGGATTTATAGTTTAAAGTCTTCCCACAAAGACAACTCTAGACCCAGATGACCTCACTGGTAAATTCTATAAAACAAGTGAATTAATCCCAAATATACGAAAACTTTTCCAAAAAACAAAAGAAGAGGGATCAATTTCCAACTTACTTTAGGAGGCTACCATTATCCTAATGCTAACAATAAAGAAACCTCAAGGAAAAGCAAAACCCATAAATTAATATCCCTCATGACCACAGACACAGAAATTCTCAAAAAGTAAGCAGATTGAACCCAGCATTGTCATTGCAAAAGAAAAAAAAAGAAAAATACCCTAAAAAATAAAAGATAACAGGCATAATCTTCATAACCTTAAATGAGTCATTGGTTTTTTATTACAGATATGACACCAAAAGTACAACCAAAAAAAGAAAAATATAGAGAAATTAAAATGTAAAACTTCTATGCTTCAAAGGATACTACTAAGAAAGTAAAAAGATACCCACAGAAGGGAGAAAATATTAATATTAGCAAATAATATATTTGATAAGGACTTATATCTAAACTGTATAAAGAATTCTTACAACTCAATAATAGACAAATAACCCAATTAAAAATGTACAAAGGATCTGAATAGACATTTCTCCAAAGAAGATATACAAATGAGTATAATAAGCACATGAAAAGATAGATGTTCAGTATCTTTAATCATAAAGGAAGTGCAATAAAATGCAGAGCAATTGGAACCTTACATTGTTGATGAGAATTCCATTTTGGAAAACAGTTCTAAGTTAAACATATAATGCTACCCGTCTGTTCTACTCATGTGTATTACCTAAAAGAATGAAGTTATATTCACACAAAAACCTGTCTATGAATGTCTGTAGTTGCTTTATTCATAATCACAAATTCTGGAAGTTATCCAAATTCTACTACTGGGGAATGGATAAACAAACTGTAGTACATATCCATAGAGTGCAATGTTAATACTTTGCAATGAAGAGGAATGAAAGTGATACACAGAACATAGATTAATCTCAAATGCTTTATGCCAAATGAAAGATACCGGAATCAAAGGCTGCATACTATATTGATTCCATCTATATGACATTCTGGAAAAGGCAAAACTATAGAACAGATCAGTGGTTGCCAGAGCCTGAAGTTAGAGGAAATTGTTGACTACAGAGTGGCATGAGGAAATTTGGGGGGTGTTGGAATTATTCTATATCTTGATTGTATTCCTTGTTACATCATTATATGCATTTGTCAAAACTTGTAGAACTGTATACTAAGAAGGATGGATTTCATTGTATGTAATTTATATCTCAATAAATCCTACTAAACAAAAAGATCTATTGGCTGATAATCATGCTTTATTTGGTTTCCTTGCACATCTAAATATAATTTTTGTTAATCTAATCCTATTGGTATTTTAGACAGCTTGTGTATGGCTATTTGGAAATAGTTTTAGAGTGATTTACCTAAAGCCAGTTTCCCCTAACCTTTTGATCATCTTTTTTTCTTTCATAACCAACTTAAAAAAAATTTAAGGTTTAAATAATTTCATTTTAGGTAAATTATTTTTGTGTTTCTTATAAGTATTTATTAAGTTTTTTTTATTGTTAATCAGGATTGTTTTGTAAGTTTTTGGTCTTATTAATAATTACTTTTTAAAACACCTTGAAGGGTTTTTTTTTTTTTTTTTTTTGCAGTTTGGCTAAAGACTTATGTTCCATTTTTATTTTATTCTTTTTAAATTTTTCTTTTTATTTCATTCTTAGGTCAAATAGGTGAAAAAACACTTCAAAGAGGATGAATTGTAGGTAAACTTCATTAGGTAAATACTAGGCAAATTGATTTTCAATGAATTGACTAATAGTCTGACAACATTGTAGAATTCCTCAAGGGTTTATACAGATCTTTATATATAATTTGGTATAATTCTGTGATACATTGTATGTAGTGCTAACGAGAATTCAAGAGTCCTGTATGGTTGTCAGTATAGAGCATATGTGGAGTCTTTTTTAACTTCAAGATCCAGATGTCCTTCGGATCTCACCAATAGGCAATAAGACAGTCAACAAGATGCTGCTGATTAGGCGCTGGCTGTTTCCATAGTTTTCTTTTTTCGTTACAAAGAAGATAGTGTTTGGTAAAGGCAAATGGCTGTTTTTTGATGAACAGGAGAAAACCACTGTGTGCCCATTTTTCCAATCCTGGGAGCCTAAGGTCTTTGTGCCACATAATCAGCAATGTTCAGCACACGTGCACCCTCACGACCATCAGCTGATCAGATGTCGGCAGCACCGCTGTGTGGGCGTTCGGTTTCCCCACAGAAGTTAGTAATGGTCTGCACATTGACTCTGATGCCAGTATCATAGCAAAACTCTTGCTTTACCAGATAGTCCATGGAAGCCATGTAAGTGCAGACGTATCTGCCTCGCTGAGATATGTATTTTATTGATTGTTTTATTTATTAGTAGCATTTGTTTTGTGTCCAAGGTTGTGGCATTCTTTAGAATTCTGAAAAAAGTGAATGTAAGAAAAAATAGAATCAATAGTCAGTAAACATTTTAGGATGAGTAACAATAATGCTTCAGTAATTTTGTATTGCTCTCACAACTTCTAGATAAAATCTGAACTCCTTAATGCTATTTAAAAGACTATTCACAATGAGGCCCCTGCCTCCTCCTCCAGTTTTCCTCCCTTCATCCCTCAAATCTCATCCTGTGACCTAGTATTACTAAACTTACTGTTTGTTTCCTCTCCTGCTCTCCTACTCAACCTAGCTAGTCTTGCTTCAGGTTGATGAGTGAAGGGCATGTTTCCTAGGAAAACTTTCCTGGGTTTAGTGCCCATGTGGGCTCCCAATAGAAGTCTCTGTACCATGACACGTGTAACATTGCTATAATTGTTAATCTTGACATCTCCAGGAGAGTGCCTGAGGATGTTAAATATATAACAACAACAACAAAATTTGCTAACTTGAGGAACAAGGGGCCTGCAGTGACATTGATGGCCTTACTAAATTTTCTTGGTGATTCTTTTTCTGTTTGTGATTATGATTAATTTCAACCCATCTTATGACTGTGAAAATACTGAGATCAATTGGCTTTTTCCTCATTCCTTCTCCTTCAATAAGTTACTTAATTTTTCTGGATTCAATTTGCTAATCTGTAAAAATGGAGATAATAGTTGACACAGTTGTTAAGAGAATTAAAGAGGTACTAAAGGCAAGAAGTGGCCTCACGTTTGTGGGTCAGGATTGTTGATCTCTTTTGTGCAAATAGAAGGTATAGGAGTAGGGGTCGTAGTGATAGCTAGAGGTCATTATTGCTCCCATGCTAAGGCCTTAATTGTCTTAAAAGTGATTTTCTTTAACATTTTTTTTCTTCTTTTCACTTTCTTCCAATAGTGTCTCAGTCGTGAACAAGGTATTAAATGGATCAAAAAACAAAGACTCCCAGCATTTCTGGAAAGTGATTGCTACTTTGAATACAGGTATTACAATCCCATCAATATACATATTTTTAAAATGCCTATTTTTTTCACTGAAACTCATTTTTTTGGGATATGTTAGTAAAATTATATATATATATCTTTTAATCCATTGGAGTTTGGATCCCATCTGCTATAGAATAAGACTGATAGGACCTTGGTGAAAATCATTTAACTTTTGTGAAGAGATTTTAGAGAAACAGCACCTACTAAATGGTCTTCAGTTATACTTTTCTGGTCATTATATTTTTTATTTTGTTTTATTTTTTAAAAACTTTTATTATTTTAATGTCAAAGGATTTAAGAAGTACAAATGGTTTTTTGTTTCATGGATGAATTGTATAGTGTTGAAGTCTGGGCTTGTAGTGTACCTTTCACCTGAATAGTGTACATTGTACCCAACAAGTGATGTTTTCATCCTTCACCTCCCTCCCACCCTCCCTTTTGTGTCTCCAATGTCCATTATGTCACTCTGTATAGTCATTATATTTTTAAAATTATTTATTGGTGATAATGGTACTTATGTTCAGGGTATTTAAAAATGAGTATTAGTATGACATGAAAAAGATAGGATTTCATAGTGCCAGATCAAGATTTTCCCTTATGTTCCCTGACTGTTAAAGTGTAAGTATCTAAAATTGGCCTTTGCTCAGAATAACCATTTTTAAGTTAAAGTAAATTAAAACAATAATTATTAACTAATTACTAGTGTTGTGAATAAGCCTAAGAGAATCATCCTGCCAGAGTTAGAAGGGGAGATTGGCTTGAATACATACAATAAAATTTTAGTGTTTTCTTTTTCCTGAATTCTACCATATTTGAAACTTATTTCAAAACTGTATGATTTCTAAAATACAGGTTAGCCAAATTGGTCTCACAAGTACGATGGAGCAAGACAGGTATGAATATCACAGTAGGTACGAATTTTACTCCCTGGATCCTGAACAAACCACCCAGTCCACCACCCCCTGCCATTGAAGAAGATAATCTTCTAATTATGAAAAAGTTCTACATTTCTCTTGGCGAGGTAAAAGAATGAGGTTTGTTTTCATGACTTGGCACTCCAATGAAACTTCTCATTTTAGGGGCATGAATTTCATTTGTAACACTTGGAGAGGGAAAATGATTTCAAATACTTCTAAAACAGAGTTAGCAATAATTCTTGTGGATTTATGTTGACTCATTTGCTCTGCACATTTTCACCTGAAAGGTAATTAAAAATATTATCCTCATGTGTCTAAAGTAACAAAAGCAGGGAAGAACATGCTGTACCACCTGGGAATCAAGGGTAATTTGAATTATATCCATGGTTTCATTGTCCATTCCAAAATTTTTATTATTTGAATTCTGTTACTTTTGTACAAAAAGATGATAATTTGAGTCTTCTCCTTCCTGTTGTCTACATTATTTCTTAGTAGTAAACTGCATTACTGTATAACTGCTGTCAAATAAATTTTTCCTCCATGATTAGAAAAATGTAGGGTTGTAGGAGTGCATTTGAAAAGACATAACCTAGAATCAAATGTCTTTTTGGAGAGTCAGACTGTAGTGAAAACTGTTGTTTAATCTTTGGTCTAATTATCAAATATTATCTCTGGAAACACTTTTATACAAAATCAAGAATGGCAAATATGTAGGCCATGTGCTGTCACTCTCCTACTCTCCATCCATGACAGACATTGTTAATCAATTGTGGAAGTTTTTCTGCTGAGCTAGGACTTGGCCCGAAATTCTTTTCAACACAGTATTCTTGGCAGGCACTTCCAGTTGATCAGAGATGTCATACAAGAGGAATCTCCTCTTTGCCATTTGTGTTGGAATGGATGGACTTATCTTCTGTTACTTGAACTTTTTTTTTTTCATGTGTGGCCCCTCTTAATTTTGTAGTATGGCATTTCTATCCACAATATTTGTCAAACATGTTTAAAATTATGCCAGTTTTATTATTTCTGCTGAAATATGCTTAGTGATATACTAAAGGGATGTTTTTCTTCTCTCTTATACTTTTTTTTTTTTTTTTTTCTGAGACAGAGTCTTGCTCTGTTGCCCGGGCTAGAGTGCTGTGGAGTCAGCTTAGCTCACAGCAACCTTAAACTCCTGGGCTCAAGCAATCCTTCTGCCTCAGCCTCCCGAGTAGCTGGGACTATAGGCATGTACCACCATGCCCCGCTGATTTTTTAAATATATTTTTAGTTATCCAGCTAATTTCTTTCTATGTTTAGTAGAGATGGGGGTCTCACTCTTGCTCAGGTTGGTCTCAAATTCCTAAGCTCAAACGATCCACCTACCTCAGCCTCCCAGAGTGCTAGAATTACAGGTGTGAGCCACCGTGCCTGGCCTCTTCTCTCTTATACTTATTTTTAAGTATTTTTTTTCCTAACTTAAATATTATAGAAATGTCAGGAATGTCATAAAAATAAAAATATGTATCAATAGTTGAGGCCAATAAACAAACAAATGAAAGAATCAATCCGGGGGAATATGTTTTGATTCCTTACATGCGATTTTAATCAAATATAAGGGAGTAAAAATCTAAGCTAGTTTACTTTTGCTATTTTCTGGGATGAAAGAACTATTTTTGTTCTCTTGAGTAATTCTTTAACTATGTCATTTTTCAATAGCCTTTGAGCTTTGAGGATTCAAAGTTCTTTGGGCCCTTAAATTATTTAAGCCATGATTATAGATGGGGACTAATCTTTATGATAATTGGTAATATTTGTTTGAGTCTTCAATTATACCATCTACAAACCAGTTAACCCATCTCTTAAAAGTATAAAGTGGAGTAATTAAATACTTTTATGTTTGACTGGTGACTTCTTTCTCCCCTGTCCTTTCTCATCCTTTTCATGCAGTCAAAATAGCAAGGACACTTGAATATTGGTCTCTCTCAATTCCTTGAGTGTTCTTTAATTATTTTGCCCTCCTGTCAGTGCATAGGCTATTGCTTGGAATAAAGTAGTCACTTAATAAATATATGTTGAATGAACATATAGTTAATAATAAATAACTTGGTTTTAGAGGAAAGAGGAAACAAAAGTGAATTAGTCTTTCCAAGCTTTTATGCACCCAGGAAATTTTACCTCTAAGAGGGGAAGTAACTATTCAGATGCCACCCCTCATTTCTACCTCTCACTATGGTCTCATTATGTGGCCTTACTTGCTCTGTTAATTCTGCATAATAGATAGGAAATAATATCTCTTCCATTTGGGTCTCTCTTCTGCGAGTGTTCCTTAAGCTAAGTGCCCACCAGCCAGCTGACTCAATTGGAGAAAGGAGAAAGGAAAAATGACAGCAATGCTGGACATTCCCTTCTCTGCTCCTGTTGAAAAACTTGGATTCTCTGGGGAAAACAGAAGAGGATATCACTGAAAGGGGTAGGCAGAGGAATTTTCCCAGGAAGTCTGGGATAGGAGCTTCTTAGGGATGGGGTCCAGAAGCTAAGGATCAGCTTGGGAATTAGGTTGGCTGGTTCAGGGATACACAAAGCAAAGGAAAAATGAAGGCTGCATCCAGAGGCAGATGGAGTCAGGAATCAGTTTACAGGAAGTATCTAATCCAAGCAAAGTTGTGAAAACTGAATCTGAGACAAAGGGGTGGCTGGACTTGGAAAGTTTTCCAGTAGTACTAAGAGTAGAGTCTCTGCCATAATGGGGGAGGAGTTGTTAAAAACAATGATCCAGGACAGACAGAAATGGAGACATGAAATAATTGGGTAAGTTATAAATGTGAGCGGCTAGCAAAAATGTATCAAAGAGGCCATTAGCCTAAGGCTGTCTGTTACTTTGAGTTCCTATGTAACAAACTGCAATCTAACTTAGTCTGCAAACAAACCAAAGCCTAACTTATGAGTATGTTTTTTGCAATAAATAGTCAATCTCCAGCCAATCACAAGCAGCCACCTAATCATTCCGTGCCCAAAGAAGGCAAATGCCTCATCACACCGTGTGCAAATAGGGAAGAGGCCTACCTGTAGCCAATCAACTAAGTGATTTCTCTACTTTGTTTCCATGTTTTGTCTATAAAAGCTCACTGCTCATACAGCTGGATGGAGCTCTGTGAACCTTTTCTCATTTTTGAGTGCTGCTTGATTCATGAATAGTTCTTTGCTCAAATAAACTATGTTCAATTTATTGTAAAAAAAAATGTATCAAAGGATTGATGAGCCATGGTGACTGCCAAGTTGAAGTCAGATGGCATGAATTTGTAGTGAATCTAGGAAGCAGGGTTTTGTGCCCTTGGTCAGCAATAGCTTGAGAGTGAGAGTAGAGAATTTGTTGACTATTGAACTCATTATTTTCTTTTGGTTATTTACTATGAAAAGTATCTGGAGAGAAATTTCCTTCCCATGATTCTCTTATCTAATGAGTTTTTTCTGAGTACAATTTTCTTTTCTTTCATGGGATGATTCTTCCTTTACATATTGCACTACACAAATTGAATGTTATTATAATTATTTGTCCAGGTTTATGATTGGGAGAATACTACTAATCCTATATTAAACAAATATGCTCCTTTCTTCCTAGGCCTCTTATACTCAAACAAAAGATTGGTTTACATTAGCAAAACAAAGTCAGCAAACAGTACCAACCTTTTCATTACTCACTCCTGTACCACACAGAAAGATCGAGTCACCAGTTATTTCATCTGTTTCTGGTAAGCAGGAAAGAACAAGAATGACTTCAGAACTCCTCTTTAAGTTTTTGTTTATTTCTTCTAATCTTATAGTAGAGCACTTAGTGGTTGGGGAGAAAAAAATTATCCACATTCCCCTGCCCCCACTCTACTTACTACTGGTTTTTTGAAAGGCAACTTGGTATAATGAAGAGGATGGGTTTAGAACCCAACTCTGATACTTATTAGCTGTGTAACCTTTGATGAGTTATTCTACTTCTGGGAGTCTTGTTTACTTATCTGAAAGATTAGAATAATGAAACATACTAAATGTATAGAAAATTCCTAGCCTAGTGCTTGGTACCTAATATGCAGTCAATAAATGTTTGTCTTATCATTATTTCCTATCACAGTTTACAAATTTTTGTTAAGTCTTTGCAATAAAGTTTATACAGCATTTCTCTGTCCTTGAGTTTTTCCTTCTGTTCTTAAGTTCAGGCTATTTTTCACGTTGTAAAGCAGATAAATTTCTACTCTGAGCTTTTGTGCATAATATAAACTCATAAAAATAGAATGAACTGGCCGGGCGCGGTGGCTCACGCCTGTAATCCTAGCACTCTGGGAGGCCAAGGCGGGTGGATTGCTCGAGGTCAGGAGTTTGAAACCAGCCTGAGCAAGAGCGAGACCCTGTCTCTACTATAAATAGAAATAAATTAATTGGCCAACTAATATATAGAGAAAAAATTAGCCGGGCATGGTGGCTCATGCCTGTAGTCCCAGCTACTCGGGAGGCGGAAGCAGTAGGATTGCTTGAGCCCAGGAGTTTGAGGTTGCTGTGAGCTAGGTTGACACCAAGGCACTCCTTCTAGCCTGGGCAACAAAGCGAGACTTTGTCTCAAAAAAAAAAAAAAATAGATGAACTTTCGAGAAATTGGAGTCCTTACGATATTGCTAGAGAAAAAAAATCTAGGTGTGATTCAGGAAAGGACTCAGGAATTCACCAACAGTGCTTAACTGATCCCTTTGAAAGTATAAGCAACCTCTGGGGAAGATAAATCTGGATTCTCTAGAATGGAACTTAAGTCTAGGTAAAGAGGAAAAGAATCTTTGTAATTGAACATAGCTGGATTTATAGGTTTCTTGCTGTTTCCCCAAAATATTAAAGTAGAAAATTAAGTAAAGATAGTAAACAGGAAGAAGGATGGTGAGCAGAAATGCCTGCCTTGCCCTTTGCCACAGCCTCTCTTCAGTTGAGGGGGATTGAGTGTGTGCCCACTACCCTTTCACAGGTTTACAAAGTCTAATCTCTCAATATTTGGAGAATTTGGTATATTTACCTCCAATAAAAATTGTAATGAATGTTTCCAATTCATTGAGACTTGAAATCTGGTAACTGAGGAAATGGTCATTGACAGTGGGACACAGATTACAGCAGTCACTTGATCTGTGGCAATTCAAGGGGTAGATTTACCATGTGAAATAAAGCACTAACATATGGTGTTTGAAAGAAAGAGAAAGAGGAGCTAAATACTATCTTTTTAGAAAAAAGTATAAAAATAATTCATTATAGGCCTTCATAAATACCTTATGCCATTTTGTAACTTTAATGAAAAGCTGTAAGTATGATAGAAATTGAATCTTTCTGATAAAACAGTGAATTTTTAAAAATTGCTGATATTGAGTCCAGTTCTGGTCTGTTCACCTATGATCTCATCATCTGCATGATAAAGGAAAATCTACTATAGATGATGAGAAACATTATGAAATATTAAAGCACATATAGTCATTTAATTCCTTAATAGATTTGGCCCTTATGTATTGACATTCTATATCAGTCTGAAATATCACATTTTAAAAGTATATAATAGTGTTTTTGTACTATCCCCTATGTTAGGAGTGTCAAATATGTAGTCTATCTGCTATCATTCTCCCTTTCTATGTCCAGGGAATACAGGATTGAGCCCTGTTGGCAATTTGCTTTTCTGGCTTCAGAATCCTTCTTAAGAGACTGGCCCATGCAGTCACTATCTGTGATAAACTCATTTGTCATCCTGGCTCTATAGCATCTATTTAATAATTTAAAAATTTTGTATTCATATCTAATCTAATAACCTTTTATGATTTAATACAGAGAGTTCTATCTTTAATGATGGAGTTCACCCCAGGACAAAAAAGGACCCAGCTAAATCTATGAAATTAATTTCTGAATTTGAAGAAGAAGAAGAAGGTTCTATATCTCTACAAGATACTCCTTCCCATGCTCTTCTGAGAATATACCTTCAAAAGCAAGATGATGAAAGCCAGAGATTGCATTTCTCAACATTTGAAGAATTTTTAAACTCTTATATATACTTCATTTTGATATCGGCAATTCAACAAATTACTGGAGAGTCATTTGAAGAAATCCAAGACTGTATAAACTTCAGCAGAATCAGACAGGTGTCATTTAGTAATCGTTTTGAACTCTCTGGCAGCAGATTTTTAAGACAGCCAATTGAAACCACAAAGGAAAAGTCAGAGGAAATATTAGAACAAGCAAGTTTAAGTTCGAACAGTGAGAGCTCTGGATCAGAGAATAGGGCTGACGGGTATATTTCTCATAAAACGTCTGACATTGGCAGTAGAAAGGAGTTTGAAAGATTTAAGAAATTTGTAAAAGGTACCTTAGGAGAGAAATATTGGGTGCTATGGATGGATATTGAGAGGTTAAAAGTTCTTAAGGACCCTGGAAGACTTCAAAGGTATTTCTATTTTTTATTTTTCAATAGTTTTAAAAACAAATTATAGAATATTAGTTTGGGTTATTTAAGCTCAGGCAGAAAGCCTCAAATAAACGTAAAATGTAATTTATACTCTTTCTAAATATAATAATAAATATTGATTTTATTAGTTTTCTGATTTCATAGTTTTCAGATAATAATGTATACCAATTATTTGGTTTGCATAATGTTTCTTCCCATAAATTCTAGAACTTCTTTCAGATTAATTCTATTTTAGTTTTAACAATAGTCCAATTGTACAGAATTTTTATAGAAAAAAATAAATTATAAGTTATACAACCACACTAACCTATAAGAGCTTATGCCAGTGTGAGAGCCTATTATTCCTAGCAGCCTGCTCAGTTAACAAATTCCATGGATATTTGGATGCGTCTGTCTGCTGGAGATCCTCTTGGAGGTCTGATGGGGCTCAGGTCTTCATTTGGTCAGCTCCATATGTTTTATTTATTTATTTATTTTTGAGACAGAGTCTTGCTCTGTTGCCCAGGCTAGAGTGGTGTCAGCCTAGCTCACAGCAACCTCAAACTCCTGGGCTCAAGCAATCCTCCTGCCTCCTGCCCAAGTGGCTCGACTACAAGCATGAGCCACCATGCCCAGCTAATTTTTTCTGTGTATTTTTAGTTGTCCAGCTAATTACTTTCTATTTTTAGTAGAGACAGGATCTCACTCTTGCTCAGTCTGGTCTTGAACTCCTGAGCTCAAACAGTCCACCTGCTTCTGCCTCCCAGGTGCTAGGATTACAGGCATGAGCCACTGTGCTTGGCCAGCTTCATATGTTTTAGATTACTATAAGTTAAGAACCTTAAGAGTACTCTGCTTTAGGAAAGTCCTTAACTCATCTGCATTCTCATGATCTGCACTGAAGCAGGTCAACTATAGTAGATTGCAGTTCCCATTTAAAGGTTTGACTGAGTGTATGCTAGTGACTGGGTTATTTCGGTTATTTTAATGACATTCAGATCATAGAGCTCATTTTTCTACAAGTTATAAAAGCAGGGGTCACCAAATGGTTGATTATGTAGCATGATCTGATTGATCATGGGATGGAAGGTCCCATCACCACCTAACACTTTTCAAAACATATCAGAGAAGTTATAGCTCAGTAACATACATAAGTTTTTCGAGATCAACACTGTAGTAGTTCCCATTGTTGCTGTAATAAATTACGACAAATGTAATAGCTTAAAGTAACTAAGTTTTATTTATTCTTTTATAGTTCTGGAGGTCAGAAGGGTCTAGGGAGGAATCTGTTTCTTGCCTTTTCCACCTTATGAAGGCCACACACCATCCTTGGCTCATGGCCCCTTCCTCCATCTGTAAAGCCAGTAGGATGGCATCTTCTCATCTTTCTGACCTCTCTTCTGTCCTCACATCTTTTCTGTATGACTCTGACCCTCTGCTGTCTTCTTAGAAGGACCCTTCTGATTACATTGGTACCACCAGATAATCCAGGATGATCTCCTTTAAAGGCTTCAACTGAATCGCGTCTGCAGAGTCCCTTTTAATATGTAAGGTGACATATTCACAAGTTCTGGAGATTAGAATGTGGACAGCTTTGTGAGGCCATTATTCAGGCCATCACAAATACTCTTACCATACTCGTAACTGTGAGAAATATTATCTCCACAGAAATGCTTGGTACTCCCTGACACTCAGTATTAGTTGTTTGTTTTACTCATTACTTGTCTGAAACATTTTAGAGGTGAAAACATTTTGGTAGTTGAATATTCTGTGTGTGTAGATATGTGGATATGTGTTTTCTTTCAGACATCTTGAGAAGATGAAAAGATGCTATCTAGCGAGCAGTGGAGAGTACTACCTTTCTGCAGAAATCTTAACAAAATTTAAACTGTTAGATGGATCTCAGTGGACTGAAGAGCATTTAAAAAATATTCAGACTGAAGTTGTAAAACCTTTACTTCTTTATTGGTAAGAAAAAGAGCATGAATCAATGTTATTTACTTTTACTTTTCTTAATATTATCATAACTGATAATATTATAAGTTGTTTTTTTTGTCTTATGGATATATAACTTATGAAAATCTAAAATGACAAGCTCATTTTATCTTTAGCTTTCCTTAAGGTACTCATCTTTTAGATAATCTGGATGTTTGGCTTACTGTAAATCCATAATAATACCAGGCAGTACTTAAGTTCCATTTTAACTTTGACCTTTTTATGATATGTATCCCACAAAATTGGTGAGTATGTGTATGTGTTTATACACATAGCTAGAGTTACAGATTTATCATCTCGATAAATATTTTTTGAGCACCTGCTCTAGGCCAGGTGCTGTGCTAAGGATACAAGGGTGAAACATGGCCAAGTCTAGTGTCATGGTATAATGGGAAAAACATATTGTGAATATTTTAGTATATAATGAAGGAAAGTGTGGTAAATGCACAAGATCACAGAGAAGAGGTCATATTTCACCTGGAACTCTGGGGACTTGATGCAAGGAAAAGAGAACAGGCATAGTGGAAGAAATGTGTGACATTTGAAGATCAGTGAGTTGTCCATTGTGACTGTGATGGATCTGATTGTGTCACTTCTCTGCTTTAAATCTCTCACTGTTTACCCCAGAGCATTCATTGTAAAGCTCAGATTCCTTAAATTGGCAAATAAGGTGATCACGATTTATTCCTTGCCCACTTCTCTGGCATCATCTTCCATCTAGGTATTCCAGATTACTTATATGCTTTGCACTTTTCTATATGTAGAGAGAGTGCTGTTCTCCTCTTTCTTTCTTTAAAGCATTTTATTCTTAAATATTTAAGACACACTTTCTGTGTGTATACCTTTCTGGTATAAATTATACTATAGTGAGTACCTATGTACACACCCACCCAATTTAATAAAACATTAAGTTTAATAAAACATTACCAAATACAGTAATGTTTTCTTTTTTAGTTGAACTTTTTGTTTTGAGATAATTGTAGGTTTATATGCAGTTGTAAGAAATAATACAAAGAGATACTATGATATGATGAAATAAAAGGAAAAAAAAAAAGAGATACTGTGTACCTTTCATACAATTTCCCCCAGTGGTAACATCTTGCATAGCTGTAACTATAGTACAATACCACATCAAGGAAATCAACATTGATACAATTTACTGATCTTTTCATATTTCACTAGTTTAACATACACTCATTTGTGTGTGCGTGTATATTTAGTTCTCTGTCATTTTGCAACTTTATAATTCAGGCATTTACCACCACAGTCAAGATACAGAGAAGTTATATTACCACAAGTGTCCCTTGTACTGCCCTTTTATAACCACACCCACCTCCCTCTTTCCCACCTTGGCCCCTCCATCCCTAACTACTAGAAACTGCTAATGAATGAAATTATAAAATATGTAATCTTTTGGCATTAGCTTTTTAAAATTCAGCATAATTTCCTTGAGATCCATCCAGGCTGTTGTGTGTATCAGTAGCTTGTTCCTTTTTATTGCTATGTAGAATTCCATTGTATGGATGTGCTATATTCAGTCACCCATTGAACGACATTAAGGTTTTTGTCTATTATCATTGGATACACACACAGATACACACACATGTGTTGGATATAAGTCCTTGATGGTTATGTGGCAAATATCTTCTACTTGCTAGAGCTTGAGAATTAAGATGTGTATAATCAGTATACATGAGAAATTGTATAATAGAAGCATCAAAAATAATATAATACTAGTTTAGGATTCACTATGTTATATTCCATAATATTTGATGAATTCATGTAGTGACTAATCAAATATTAATGCTATCTGAATGAAATAAGGGTATAAAATTAAAATGGTAAGATCATCAGGGACTTATGGAGTCATATAAATATACTCAAATGATATAAATTGGAAAATTGAGGCACCTAGATTTCCTGGCCATCACACATTATTTAATTTGATAGGGATCCTTTTTTTTTTTGTTTCCTTAAGAGATGAGACCTCGCTATGTTGCCCAGGCTGGTGTCAAACTGCTGGCCTCAAGAGATCCTTCTGTGTCAGTCTCCCAAAATGCTGGGATTATAGGAATGAGCCACCGTGCCTGGCTGATAAGAGTCTTGTAGATATGCCCACTTACTAATTAACATGCAAATAAGTAATTTTGAATATTTCCAAGTATGCAAGTAAACCTTCTGAAATACAGTATAGAATGACCATGGAGATCTATACAGAATGCTTTCTGGTCCTAAACTATTTATGGACTTTGGGTTCTCTTCTACTTACATCTGTGTTCACATCAGGAAAGATATCTATTTTCTTCCTTACTTAAAGGGAAGAAATTTTCTACCAAACCCTGGAATATGGAATAGGAATTAGTCTTTGGGGTGTGGCATCAGGGAGAAAAACCTGATCCAAGAAGCAATTAGCGGCAGGCCTTGACATCTGGAGTTAACCCTATATCCAATAAAGAGTTAGTCCACATACTGAATACCAGGATATCGATCCAATTAAGTGTGGCCTTGATATTGTGCCAGACATTCTTTTTTCCTAGTTTCTGGCTGTAGTAATGGTCTTTCACTTATATAAATTATTGTAAAATTCTTACCTTCAAATTTAAAGGCTTAAAAATATATAATATGAATTAACCTACTTTACTAGCATACTTAAGCCCTATAAAAACATTTACATGTTAATTTCATTCTACCAATTTTTATTTGGTACTATAGATAAATACTAAACTGCCTTAAAATTATCAGAAGTAAACTTGATGTTTATTTTACTAGAAACATGAGTTACTTTTAAAATTCCTTCATTGATAGATATACAGGTTTTTCTTATCGAGCCTAATAATAATTTGAACATAATACTACTTAGGATTTTACCCTAATGTATACTGCCTTTTTATATAAGTGAATTGGATTGCAGGAAGTTAACATATCATAGAAAAATATTTTTGAGACTAGGCAGCAGAAAAAGAAGTAGACATTAAAAAGGGGTATAGTGGCTGGGTGTGGTGGCTCACGCCTATAATCCTAGCACTCTGGGAGGCTGAGGTGGGAGGATTGCTTGAGCTTAGGAGTTCGAGACAAGCCTGAGCAAGAATGAGACCCTGTCTCTACTAAAACTAGAAAAATTAACTGGGTTTCATGGTATGCGCCTATAGTCTGAGTTACTGGGAAGGCTGAGGCAAGAGGATCACTGGAGCCCAGGAGGTTGAGGTTGCAGTGAGCTATGATGACCCCACTGCACTCTACTCAGGGTGACAGAGCAAGGCTATTGTCTCACAAAAAATGAGGAGGGAGTAATAGCAAAATGGATAATTGTAAGCACAGCTATTATATATTTTATAGGCTTTTGATTTTTGAGGCTTATTGTCTGGTTCAGTCTTAAATTTATTTTTCCAATAAACAGGGCACCAAGATTCTGTGTTACTCATTCAGCCTCAGCAAAACAAGTTAGTAATGAACTGAAATTCTGGCACCTCCGTCAAGAGAAACCAAGGAAGGATATTGACCCTTTTCCACAAATGGCAACCCTCTTGCCACTAAGACCTAAATCTTGCATTCCACAGATATCTGAGGTCCAGGTAGGGTATACATTGATGCTTTGATCTCTGTTAAGTTTATAGTAAAATATCTATGCTTGAGTGTTTGGACACTGAATCATCATAAGCTTTTTTGTTGCTATTGTTGTTGTTTCTAGTGTACCTGCTGCAACAATTAGGAAATAAGAAAACCTACAGTCTATTCTTAGGCATTTTTCAAAAGAAGATATACATATGTTTGGCTAGCAAACATATGAAAAAATGCCTACCATCACTAATCATCAGAGAAATGCAAATTAAAACCACAGTGAGATTCCATCTTACTCCAATTAGAATAGCCATTATTAAATAGTCAAAAAACCACTTATATTGGCATGGGTGTAGTGAAAAGGGAACGCTATAAGCTGTTGGTGGGAATGTAAATTAGTACAACCTATATGGAGATATCAATATGGAGATTTCTCAAAGATCTAAAAGTAGATCTACCATTTGATTCTGCAATCCCACTACTAGGTATCTACTCAAAGGATAAAGAAAGAAATATAAAGAAATCATTAAATATAAAGAAATCATTATATCAAAAAGATACCTGCACTTGTATGTATGTTTATTGCAGCACAGTTTACCATTGCAAAGATATGGAATCAACCTAATGTTCATCAGCTGATGAGTGGATAAAGAAAATGTAGTGTGTGTGTGTATATGCACACATACTATGGTGTACTACACAGCCATAAGAAAGAATGAAATATCTTTTGCAGCAAATGGATCAAACTGGAGGCTGTTATCCTAAGTGAAGTGAAGTAACTCAGGAACAGAAAAATAGTTGCCACATGTTCTCACTTATAAGTGGGAGCTAAACTATGGTTATGCAAGGATATACATAATGGTATAATGGCTGTTGGAGACTCAAATGGGGGGAGGCTGAGAGGAAGTGAGGGGTCCCAAATTACCTGTGGGATATAATGTACACTATTTGGGTGATGAGTACACTAAAAGCCCAAACTTCACCACTATATATATACATGTAATGTATATATACATGTAATGAAATTCAACTTGTACCCACTAAATCTATTAACATTAAAAAAAAAAAAACCTACAGTCAGTCAATTCTCTACCAAGCAGCCACAGTGATCCTTTAAAAATACACGGTCAGGCCGGGCGCGGTGGCTCACGCCTGTAATCCTAGCACTTTGGGAGGCCGAGGCGGGCGGATTGCTCAAGGTCAGGAGTTCGAAACCAGCCTGAGCGAGACCCCGTCTCTACCAAAAATAGAAATAAATTAATTGACCAACTAAAAATATATATACAAAAATTAGCCGGGCATGGTGGCGCATGCCTGTAGTCCCAGCTACTCGGGAGGCTGAGGCAGTAGGATCGCTGAGCCCCGGAGATTGAGGTTGCTGTGAGCCAGGCTGACGCCACGGCACTCACTCTAGCCTGGGCAACAAAGTGAGACTCTGTCTCAAAAAAAAAAAAAAAAAAAAATACACGGTCATATCACTCATCTGCTCACAATTCTCCTGTGGCCTCTGCTCTAACTCAGAATAAAATCCCAAGTCATCACACAGCTTGGGAAAGCCCCTGCTTACCTCCTGATCTCGTGTCCCACCATTGTCTAACTTACTCCACTCTATCCACTCTGGTCTCTTTGCTCTTTGAAGACACCACGCATAATGCCCAGGGTTTTGTGCTTCCTGTTTGCCTTGGTTGGAGCACTCTTCTCTAGATGTCTACATGACTTGCCCCTCCATTTCCTTTAGGTGGTTCAGTAGTGTTAAGCATATTCACAATTTTCACTTTCTACGTTCTAAGCTAGAAAAGAAAAAAAAAAAAAGAGTATATTCACAATTTTGTGAAACAGATCTCCAGAACTTTTTCATGTTGCAAATCTGACTCTATACCTGTTAAAAAATAACTCCCCTTTTCTCTCCCCCCTCCCCAATGATAATCTCCATTGTAGTTTCTCTTACTTTGATGACTTTGTATGGTATACTGAAGCTCAGCCTCCTGTGGTAACTCGTATTTTTTGAGTGGTATTTAATTCATGCTGTGTCCAAATTACTAAAACAGATTTGAGCCCTGATACCTGGGAAGTTATATGTAGAATACACTTAAGTTATTCATTTTGTTTATAGAATTCTTAAAAATTCTTAGTAGTTATTGCCTACATGGAGTATGTATAAGATTTTATTGTTTGTTCTGGATAATAAAACATCATAAATATATTCCTTGCTTTCCAGCAACATATATTATATTCTAATGGAGGCTGACATATTAGAAAAGTTTTTTATGTTTGTTTTTCAAATTACAAAAATAATAAAATTACTGTAAATTTAAAAACTGGAGAAAGAGACAAATCACTTCTAATCTTACCTACTATTAGACAACTACTAACTTATTTTCTCTTAGGTTTCTTGTGAATTTTTTGTTTTCATGCACTTATGTAAGGGAGAATTTTTCCACTGCCTTCCTAATAGTGCATAACTGCAAACTAGCAAAAGCAACTGTAGAGTGACCTTTGACTAGATTTCAATCTTGTGCATAACTGCAAAATAACATGACTAAGTGACTATAGAGTAATACGTGACTAGACCACAGGCTTGTGCAGAATTTGTAACTATTTGCTTCTGTAACATATAAAAGCCACCAGGCTTTGACCCCATTTTGCTCAGAATTTGGAGACGAGACCCCTCTCAGCCCGCTGGTGTAATAAAAGCCTGTTTTGCAGTACTCTCGTGTAGCTTTTGGTTTGTTTCCCAGTCTTGCTTGCTGTAACACTTATACTTTTGTATTATGATTATATCTTTTATCATAAATATTTTTCCATGTGTCATCATTTTTATAACCACTATTTTTAGTATTATTGTATAATGTTACATTTGTGTATATCCCATACTCAGGTAATTGTTTCTTTCTCCTCCATTTGGACATTTAGTTGTTTATAGTTTTCTTGATTCATGCATATAGATCTCATACTCTGGATTTAAATTGTTAACTTTTACCATAAAGAACTTTTAAGAATGGCCCCATGGGGGTAAAAAAAAGAATGGGGGCCGGGCGCGGTGGCTCACGCCTGTAATCCTAGCTCTTGGGAGGCCGAGGCGGGCGGATTGCTCAAGGTCAGGAGTTCAAAGCCAGCCTGAGCAAGAGCGAGACCCCGTCTCTACTATAAATAGAAAGAAATTAATTGGCCAACTGATATATATATAAAAAAAATTAGCCGGGCATGGTGGCGCATGCCTGTAGTCCCAGCTACTCAGGAGGCTGAGGCAGAAGGATCGCTTGAGCCCAGGAGTTTGAGGTTGCTGTGAGCTAGGCTGACGCCACGGCACTCACTCTAGCCTGGGCAACAAAGCGAGACTCTGTCTCAAAAAAAAAAAAAAAAAAAAAAAAAAAGAATGGGAAAAAATAACCATGAAAATAAAATGTCCCAAAATGGAAGGCAATAGTGCTGATAAGATACAGATCCACCCCTTCTAGTGGACAGTGGGTATCTTTGTTTCATTTCCCTGCTTCGTGACCCCCCTCACACACACACACATACTAGGTCTAATACCTATTCAGTTTCAGAATAAAGAACAGTTTTTGCAAAGTTCTTACTCCAAGAAAGAGTCTTCTTTCACATCAGTGGTAGTGTGGATATACAAGCCTTTAGCTCTTTTCTTATAGTCTAAATTTCTGTTGGATGTCACTTTGCTGGTTGCATAAACATGGGAGTTAGAGAAGTAGGAAATTTCTATTCTAGTGGGAAGCATGGCAGGAGGTAGAGGGAGGGAAAAAGTCATCTACTGAGCCGAACGAATTTGAGGTATGTGTGCAGAGCTATATATTTTATTCTCTCTCTCTCTTTTTCCCTTTTGCTCATTTTTCATTTTGTTCATATCTTAACTACCTTTTAGAAAGAGGAATTCAGCTTTTTACAGCCTCCTAAATCTCCCAAGAAAACACCTAGAGTAAAAACGGCAACTCAAAAAACTGGGAGGAGTGAGTCTTTGCATCCAATTTCTTCTAAGAATGATGTGATTGAGAGAGGGTAGGTGCACCTTTTGTGTATCAGTTGCTTTTCTGCAATGGTAAGATTTTAAATAATTTAAAAACTAAATAGAAATTGAAGACTAATATATTGATTTTTTACATGGGTTCTTATATTTCAGTATTATATATTAGAAGCTTATACTGTCCATGCATACTTTAAATTAGGAATAAAATGCCAGGTATTAGTAATTTTGAAGAGATAGTGCCTCTGGTTTCCAGCCTGTCATGAGCTGTACAATCAATAATTTTTTGAGAAGATTGTCCTCTAATTCTTATTTGGCTCAATTCAATAATTCAGTATTTTTCAACTATAAGAACTCGTAAGACTGTCAAGAATATTATCTTGTTTAATATAGTATATTATTTTATTCATTTAGATTTATCCATATATTTACCCTTTTCATTGTTCTTTATTTCCAATGGGATTATTTTCCTTTAGCCTTAAGAAAACTCTTTGGTATTAACTTTGAATTATTTTATTATATGAATGAATAATTTTTATTTAATAATTTATTACTTCACTTTCATTTTTTTATTGAGATAAAATTCACTTGACATAAAATTCACCATTTTAATCATACTCAGGTGTATAATCAATGAATTTTAGTATATTCCCAAAATTGTAGAACCATCACTACTATATAATTCCAGAATTTTCATTATACCCCAAATAAGCCCCATACCTATTAGCAGTCACTCTGTATTCCTCCTCCCTCAGCCCCTGGCCGTTATTCTTCTATACCTATGGATTTGCCTATTCTGGACATTTAATATAAATGGAATATATACATACATATATGTGGCCTTTTGTGTGTGTCTTATTTACCATAATCTCTTCAAGATTCATTATTGTGGTCACTTTCACTCTTAAATATTTTTTGTTGGGTATAAAATTATGGATTGGTAGTTTTCTTTTATTGTGTTGAAGATATTTTGTTTTCTAGCTATTAGTGTTTCTTCTGAGATACTAGTTGTCAGGCTAATTGTTGGTCCTTTGAAGATAATATATCTTTTTCTCCTTTAAGATTAAAGGGTATGAAATGAAATGAAACAAAGATATCCTGCTTTAGGAGTATCTTTGTTTTTTTTTTTTTTTTTTTTTCTTTCAGTTTTACTCTGATGTGTTTTGGTATAGGTTTCATTATATGTAGCCAACCTGGAGTTATTAGATCTGTGGCTTTGATGTCTTTCATCAGTTTTAGAAAATTCTCAGCTGTTACCTCTTCTAATGCTTTTCTAACCCACTTTTCTCTCCTCTTATTTTGGAATTCCAATTACATGTAAGTAAGACTGTCACAATTTATCCTCTAATATCCTGTCTTCTGTATTTCATCCTATCATCTCATCATGCTTTATTCTAGCTAATTTTGTTATTGTCCAGTTCACTGTTTCTCTGTTTAACTATATCTAATCTGGCCTTAATTATATCTATTGAGTTTCTAACATTAGTTATTGTATTTTTTATTTCTATAATTTCTCGTTGGTTCCTTTCTAGATATGTCATGTTTTAGAGGTTCCAGTTGTCTGCCGAGATAAAGTTCTTCTGTTTTATCTCCTTGGTCATAGTTGTTTAAAGTCTGTGGCTGATATTTTTAATATCTGGAGCTCATGTGACTCCTTTCCATTGTTCTGTTTTTAGCTGGTTTTTGTTCTTGTTGCTTTGTCTGCTCTTGTGTCTTGTTTTTGTTCATTTTATTTGAAAAATTTATTTTCAAAAAAATTTCATTTTATTTGAAAAATTGTGTGCAGAATTTATTTGAATCTTAGGTTTTACTTTATATTTTTCTAGAAGGGATTCTTTTTTTCTTTTGCCATACAATTCAAGCACTAGTAATCTGCAATCAAATTAATCCAATTCCAGGAATTTTTCTGAGCCAACAAAACAACTCAAAATTATGCTGCAGTATATGCAAGGATTGGTTTACTTCTAGTATACTCTTACTACTAGGGTGCAGCCGTTGGAGTTCCCAACTCCAAGGAATAAAGAATTTATCGGTGTCTGTTACTGTTAAACATGCCACTACATTTACTATATGTTTTTCATTATTAGCAAACCCTAAGGTTAAAGCAACCTCAAATGCGGAAGTCACCTCTGTGGATTTTTATCCTTTGGATTTTGACTCAATAATTCTTGACTACGTTAAGTTAGATGCCTTCAATGGTATTGACACTTTGTTTGCATTTTATCAGTTAATTCTTACTGCATCCCATGAAGAAGGCATTATCCTCAGTTTTCAGGTGATGAAACAAGTGAAAAGATATATAGGCATGAGTTGAGAGAAAAGTTGACTTTTGAAAACTATACGATGGCTAGAGTATAGAGTATTACAGTAAAAAAGCAGGAGATAGGCTAACGAGATAAAGGAGGCTGAGAATGTGAAATTTCTTATCTGTCACATTAAGGAATTTGAAGATTATTTTCTATGCACTGGTGAAGAACTGGAGAGTTTTTTGAGTCATTTATTAAAATTAAATTATTTTACTTTTAAAAATTGGATATATACACATAGTTCAAAAATAGTGGCAAACTATATATATTTTATTAATATATCTTGGAAGTTTTCTCCCAAGATATATTAGATATACTATAATCTATTTTGATTCTTATTCTTGTCATTTTGTTACTTCTTATGTCTGTTTTTTACATTTTATCCCAAACATTTTATTTGTACTGTATTGATGGACATGACATTGCTGCCTGTATTTTTTGCTATTACAGTGTTATAGTAGATGATCTTATACATTTCTTTATTTTTCACACATATACATACATATATATATCTGTAGGATAAATTTCTAAAAGTAGAATCCTTGAGTCACAGTTCATGTGCTTTTTAAATTTTGCTAGATATTGCCAAATAGTCTTTTGTAGGAGTTGTAACAAGTTATATAATACTCCCATCAACATGTGTGAAAGTGCCTTTTTCCATATCATCACAAACACAGTATGCATTACTTTTGCTAACCAGAAAGGTTTTAAAATGGTATTTCTTATTTTGACTGAAGTTGAACATTTTTTCATATGTTTAAGAGCTATTTTACATTATTTTCTGTGAACCTGCTATCCTTAGAAGGAGGAAAAGCAGGATTGGAGGAGGCAGATGATGAGTTCGGTTTGGGGTGCTTCCTAGGTGAGTGCTGCAGTGTGTACTACAGTGTCTGGCATGTAGTATGTGTTCAATGAACCTTTGTTGAATGAGTGAATATAGAGCCCAAGGCACTCTTGAAGACTGAGAAAACTACATTGGGCTCCAATTTCTCTACATCCTTGCTTACACAAATTTTTTGTGTGTTGAAAATGTGAATTATGTCTCAGTAAAAATTTAAAACTATATTAGGATATATTATACATTGGGATACACATGCCCAAAAGAGTTGAAATATAGCTCTGGAGCCCAGGAGAGAGATCAACTATATGTAAAAAAAATTTGAGAAGCTTTTACACTTTAGGGGATAGAAGCTGTGGGAATGGATGGAGATGATCATGAGAGAGAGTAGTGTATAATGAGAAGAACTAAGTTATCAAGCTTTATAGTAAAGGCAGAGAATAGGAGCCAGAAGAGAAGACCAAGAAGGAGTAATCTGAGAGATGGTAGATGCAGCTACAGGAAAGAGTGGTGTCATGGAAGTCAAGGGAAGAAAGAATTTTAAGAGGATGTTAAATGTTGCAAAGTAGTCAAGATAATAGGAGTAAGTGTTCATTGTGTTTATTAATGATGAAGTTATTGATAAGGTTACAAAGATAAATTTCAAGAGTCAGAAGTCAGATGACAGTAGCTGGAAGAATATATTGAAAGAGGAACTAATTGATATAGACCACTCTTCTTCTAACTTTTAATTATGATGTGATTGTAGATTTATATGTAGTTGTAAATGATGTAGAAAGGTCCCATATGCCCTTCTTTCAGTGTCCCCAGTTGTAATAGCTTGCATAACTATAATACAGTGTCAGATCCAGGAAATTGGCTTTTATAAAAATCCATCTTCCTTATCATATTTTACCAGTTTTATATGCACTTGTGTGTGTATGTTTAGTTTTATATAATTTGATCACAGGTGTACTTTCATGTGACTATTACCACAATTGATATACCAAATGGTTTCATCACAAGGATCTCTTGTGCCACTGTTTTATAGCCATAGCTATTTTCCTCCCTTCACATCCTAGCCACTGGCAACTACTAATCTGTTCTCCTTCTCTATTTTTTTTTTTTTTGTATTTTGTGTAGAGATGGGGCTCTCACTCTTGCTCAGTCTGATCTCAAACTCTTGGCCTCATGCTATCCTCCCACCTCAGCCTTCCAAAGTGCTAGGATTACAGATGTGAGCCACCATGCCTGTCCTCTATCTCTATAATTTTGTCATTTCAAGAGTGTTATATAAATGGAATCATGAAGTGTGCAACCTTTTGAGATTGGCTTTTTTTTTTTCTCGGCATAATTCCCTTGACATTTATCCAAGTTGTTGCATGTATCCATAGTTTGTTCCTTTTATTGCTGAGTAGTATTAGATAGATTATTCCCTTTTAAAAATTGGATTTAAAATTTTGAAATGAGTGAGAATAAAAATTAAAGTAACTGGATTTAGGGGAGAGCATTTTTGTTAAAGTTATTCCTAAGTATTTTGTTCTTTTTGAAGCTATTGTGAATGGAAATGTTTTGTTAATTTCATTGTTGGACTGTTCATTGCTAGTGTATAGAAATTCAATTTTTAAAATATTTATTTTGTTCCATGTGACCTTACTGAACTTATTTCTTAGTTCTAGTTGTTTTTAAATAGAGTTCTAAGGATTTTCTATATACAAGAGCATATCATCTAAGAACAAAGACAGTTTTGAATTCTTTCTTCTTGATCATGTCTTTTACTTCCTATTCCTTCTTAATTACCTCAGCACCTCCAGTACAATGCTGAATAGAAGTGGTAAAAGCAAACATCCTTGTTTTGTTCCCAGTTTTAGGGTGAATTCAACCTTTTGCCATTAAGTATGATATTAGCTATTTTTCATAAATTCTATATTATGTTAAGGAAGCTCTTCATTGAAGTTTTTAAATCATGAATGTGTGTTGGATTTCATCAGATAATTTTTCTGCATCTATTAAAATGATCATGTGTGTTTTGTTTATTGATATGGTGTATTGCATCGATTTTTAGATGTTAAACCAACTTTATATTTCTGAGACAAGCCCCACTGGTTCATGGTATATAATCCTTTTAATACTTTTCTGGATTCAGTTTGCTAGTATTTTGTTGAGGATATCCATTTCTATATGTATAAGGGATATTGGTATGTGTGTTGTTTCTTTTTTAAGATATTTTTGGCTTTAGTATTATAGGGCAATACTGCTTCATAGAATGCATTGGAAAGTATCACATCCTTTTGTAACTTTGGAAGAATTTGGGAAGAACTGATGTTGGTTCTTCTTTAAGTATTTGATTGCATTTATCAGTGAAGCCTTTTGGACCTAGGCTTTTCTTTGTGGAAAGATTTAGTTTAGTTATTCTCTTTCTAATATCTTAAGAGTGAAGGTTAGGTTATTGATTTGGGATCTTTTTCTTTGCTAATATAGGCCTTTACAGCTATAAAATTGTCCCTCTAAGCAATGCTTTAGCTGTGTCCCATATATTTTGGCACATTCTGTTTTTGTTTTCATCAGAAAGGGTATTGTAAAGGTTAAGGAGACTTGAATCTATTGAAATGTGTAGAGTATAATCCAGTGGAAATGGAAAAGTTGAAGATATATGAGAAAGAAAGAAGGTCTCCATTTTCAAAAGAGAATAGAGAGAAAGGTTCAAGAACCAAGGTATTGAGATTAACCATGGACAGGTGGGGCACCTGTTCCTGAGACAAGATGGAAAGAAGGATGGGTACAGGTGGATGTGTTTATTGATCACTTAAGAATGCTTTCAGCTGCAAATAACAAAAAGTCTGACTAACAATGGCTTAGATGAATTGAGCTTATTTTTCTCACGTAATAAGAAATTTGAAAATAGGCAGCTGCCAATACTGGTTCAATGGATCAGAAGTATTAGGCCCGGAGTTTTGTATTGCTCTTGGCCATTCTCTCCTGGTCAGTGGTGTTGCAGCTCCTGACATCAGGCTTTTAAGTCAGAAAGAAGGGAGTAGGGTGATTTTCATTAACCCCGTCCCTTTTGTCAGGAAAACAAGCTTTCTTAGAAATTCCCCAGCAGATTTCATTTTATATCTCGTTAGTCACAACTATATTACATGGCTGGCTCTGTCTGCAAGGGAGTCCTGAAAAATGAGCGTTTATTTTCAGGGTTGCAGTGGTGCTGTGTATAGAAATATGTAACTGTATGTAACTGTGAATTGGGTTAGCCAACCAGTTAACCATGTCTACCACATGGGGGAGTGGAAATTGAAGCCTGTTGTACCAACATTTTGTGTGAGAAGAACCTGCAAGGTAAGCTGCGAGTGGATTGGGGTGAAGGTAGATTGTTGAGGTGGAACCGACATGTTTTATGGAGCTGGAAAATAAAGTTTAGAATAATTGCAGTGGGGCATGGGAGAGGAAGTCTGATAGGAAAATGTAGAAACATAATGACCAAAGTCATTAGTTTAATTCCAAAGCCTTACATTATCTCACCCCAAACTGATCTATATAATTCCCTATGGATCTTACCTGTATTGAGGATTAAATATTATAATATGAATTATATCTAACACAGTGTTTGGTATGTAGTATATAGTATTCACTTAATTGTTAGTGTCTTCTTGTCCTAAGGAAATTGTTTATCTTTGCTGCCTTTTAAACAAGGATTTCCCCACATGACCTTCATGTATTGCTCACTATTCTTGCTATCCAAAGAACTCCTCTAACACACACTCACACACACACACACACACACACACACACAATCAGGTATATACACAAAATATATCTCTACTAATTTTTCAGGAAAAATTTCATTTCTTTAATATGTGTTGAAGGAATTTCTCATTCTTACACTCCCATATTTATTATCCATCCCAGTCATTCGGCATCTCTAATATACTCTCTCAAATCAGTTCAACCGGAAGTTATTTTGAGAGTCGTCTTTCTGTATAACTATGCCTCATTTTCTCAACTCACTTCTCCAGGGTACAACTAATGTCATGCTTTTTTGTTCTGATTCTCTCACATTGCTCAGAAGCACTCCTAAGATTTGGTGCCATGTACACCGAAAGTACTCAAAATTTGCTTATCAATTAATTCTCATCCCTATCATTTAGGTCAAGGCACATGTCAGAAAGCAAAATCATTCATTTAACATCTTTCACTGACATTTCTGAATGTCTGAAGCCCCAGCTGGATCGAAGATTTACTTACACAGAAGAACCCAAGGCGAGTATTTTGAAGTCTGAATAAGCTAATTTCTCATTTAACTGATCAATGTTCCCTGATTTTAGAAAATTTTTATTGATTTATCATAGTATTATTTTCTTCACTAAGAAAAACATTTAATTTTTTTCCTTGCCAAAGGATTTTTACACAAAAATTTCCCATGTTTCTTTTTGTAGTACCAAGCTGCTGTATTCTTCATTGATTACTTATTTTCAAAAACAACTGTGTTCTGGTTTTCATATGATGATACCTCAAACATAAAACAAGACCCTCTAGTATTTTTCTAAACTTTTTAACACTTGATGAAAAATAGTATTTGATGTTTTGTTTTGGAGGTCTAGAATTTTAAAATGCAAGGTATCTCCAGAATGCAGCTACTCTGAAAATACGTATTAAATGTACTAGTTTTGATGAAAATTTCACATTCCTTAAGGATTATATGTTAGGTAGAAACCTTGGCAGTCCCAATACAGTCTAAACACTTAGCTATAATTTTATGTGACTGTTTATTCTACTCTAAGACAATAGTTTTCCTTTTCTTATTTATTTATTTTTTGAGACAGAGTCTCACTCCATTGCCCAGGCTAGAGTGCCATGGCGTCAGCCTAGCTCACAGCAACCTCAAATCCTGGGTTCAAGCAATCCTCCTGCCTCAGCCTCATGAGTAGCTGGGACTATAGGCATGCGCCAGCATACCCAGCTAAATATATATAATATATATATATATTTTTTTAGTTGTCTAGCTAATTTCTTTCTATTTTTAGTAGAGACGAGGTCTCACTCTTGCTCAGGCTGGTCTCAAACTCCTGAGCTCAAACAATCTGCCTACCTTGACCTCCCAGAGTGCTAGGATTACAGGTGTGAGCCACTGCACCTGGCCTGTTTTCCTTTTCTTCTAATTGGAATTTTTTTCCTACTAAATAATGATTTTTTAGTTTGGAATTCTGATAGTTAAGCATCATAAAAACATTAAATTCTCACCTCAGAATTTGTTTAGCAGGCAGATAAAGAGGAAAGTAGATAGTATGACAAAGAATAAGAACCTCACTTAAACCCTGAATTATTCATACCACACTTGTATTATGATTACAAAGACAAAACGAATAGCAAAGAGTTAAAGTGAGTAGTAGATGCCTTTTCATATTCTGGAGTCACTCTTGTGCTTGGAGAAATAGCCAGCTTTCTGTGTTTCAAAAATTGTATTAGGGTTGCCAACATTGTTGGCAGAGAAGCCCATAAATAGTAAAGTTTTATGAGAACTTATACTGCCATTTACACTGTGCAGGCCATGACCTGTACAGGGCAAGACTGTCCAAAGAGGGACCCCCTAAGAACAGTTAATGAGCTGTACTGAGAGGCCTTGAAGATAGTTCTTTTTATAACCCTCTTGTAGCTATAATAGCAGCACCTCAAGGCTAAAATAACAGTAAATATGTAGGAAAGAGGCCACCAACAAAGATTTGGAAGACTCTGAAAATTATGAAAATAATTGAGGTTGGGAAGTTGCTTCAACTTTATGTTTGAAATCAGATTGGTTAATAATAGAATGAATTCTGCTGCTATAGTTGGGCTCCATAAATGAATCTTATACAACAAATGCAAACATACTGCATTAATTACATATATGGTACAAAAATAAAATAGTCTAGTGGGAAAATGACAGCCTGGCAGAATTTATGAAACCCTCTTATGCAATGCTATAAAAAATCACAATGTGTTTGGATGTATAATGGACTTCTGTTTTGTTATCTAGGTTAAAACCATGTTAGATGTTGGAACTTTGGTAGGATTTGACATGGAAAACTTGTTGCAATCTTTGTATGTAGAAAATAGAGCTGGATTCTTCTTTACTAAATTCTGTGAACGTTCAGGGAATGAGGTAAAAAAAATTATTTAAAATCTAATTTTATAGTTTTACTTCACTTAAAAATAAGAGGTGTTGCAAGAATTTGGTGCTCAAAAAATTATGTTTGATGTTAAAATTCCTATCTCTGATAAGAAAATTTATACTTAACATTTAGTAAACATTTAAACATCTCAATTTTCATTCTCTTTGGTTCACTATTCTACTAAAATTACAAAGAAAAGTAAAATAGAGATAGACAAGGATTGACTTGCATGACTAACAATAGTTTATTTTCATATAATTTTATTTCAGTATAATGTATTTTAGATTCAGAGTTGATTTCTATCACTCCTTTAGTTTTTTAATACTTCTAACAATTGCAAGTTATAATGTATAGTAGCAAAATTATTTCCTGTTTTTCAATTTTTCTTTCTTTAAAGAAATGGAGTCTCGCTCTGTCACCCATGCAGGCTGCTGGAGTACAGTGACACAGATCGCAGTCCACTGTAACCTCGAACTCCTGGGCTTGAGTGATCCTCCCACCTCAGCCTCCCATCAAATATTCTTTTTTAATCACAAAAAAGTAATTTGCTCAAATGTAAAGTGTTTAATTGGCCCAATTATTAGAATAATTTCTGGTTCTGCTATGATACACATTTGCCCATATATATCAAAATACCTTTAGATTTTGTTTTCATACCAGAAGTGTATGGTTACTTTTTAACCATTAACTATTAATAGAGTGCTTACTATTTTAATGGCCAATTATGTGAAAATATGCAAAAATATAATGTTCTAGTGACAATACCAATAAATGTTTTGTATATTGCCAGTTTGTGGTAGAAGATTGAAACTATCTTAAATTGTGCTAGATTTATGGTAACAGCAAGGAGTTAAACAATTATTTGTATTTGAAATTAGAGCCTTGTAGAGCTTTAATAATTGGGTGGTAATAATTTATGTACTTTTTCCATCTGCAGTTGTGGAAGAACAGTGTGTACTTTTGGTTTGACCTACAAGCTTATCATCAGCTTTTCTACCAGGAAACACTTCAGCCTTTTAAAGTATGCAAGCAAGCACAAGTAAGTAGTAAATAATGTTGGTTCAGTGTGAAGCTCTGACTACACAGAGAAATAAAAATTGTATCTAGTCCCAAACAAGAGAAATCTGGGACTGCAGGCAAAAAGGCAGCAGTTAAATTGTTGCCATGGGATTACTTTATTTAAATGTCAACAGAATATTGTTTTATAATCCGATTTGTGGGTTTTCAGTTTTATCTATTTTATTTGGTTTGCTTTATTTTCTCTTTGCTGCCAACTACTTGTTCTTCCAATAAAGAACATTTCATATTTTTTTTCTAATTTATACCTTTTTGGTTTGGTTGTGAGTGATTTAAAAGAGAACCCTGAGAGTGGACTTGTAATGAATCATTGAAGTGATTGGGAGCGAGACATTGACCATTGTCGCTCTCTGAGCTTCCTGCAGACACCCGCTGGTGAGCATACTAGGCAGTTGACCTGTTTCAAGAGCAGGAAAGGATGTTGACTTACTCTCCTTGGTGCAGGCCCCATGTTGTTGCCTGAGCTTCTGTGCTGCACGCCATGTAAGACAGACTCTCGGTGGAGGAAAGAACATTTCAAGACCACTTTGAAGCAAAATAGAAGGAGCATGGAATAAAAAATAGAGGAGGAAGAACAGAGGATTCCTACAAGGGAGATGGGGAGACAGAATAGCCTCTTTTGTGGGGAGGAAAGAAAGGGTACAGAATTATGACTCAAGCTGACTTTTCAGTTTTTTATTCTTAGACTTTTCTGATGTTTTCTGGAGAGGTCTCTAAGCCTAGAAAGCTGGTAATCTGTATCTGTTGCCACTTAAGTGATTTCATAATCCAGAATAACCCCATTCCAGAGGACCTCCCCCGAACAATGCTAAGGAAACGAGCTTCATCATTTTATTTATTATCTTATATCTTATTCAGGATATCAGAGCATACTGCTGGATGGATGTTTATTACTTCCACCACCCTGACTCTGGCATTAAAAATTATGCTTTGTAAATCAGCTGACAGAGCTTTGTACTTTTTACTGTGAGAATAAGGGCTTCAGCTCCTACGTAGCCCAGATCTGTCTCCATGAAATAATAAAATTATATCTCTAATTTAACAGTACTATTTTCTGAGACCACACAGTTGACTGTTCTGCTTGTTAATCTTTTACCTGAAATTCTCTATTTATCCATGTTCTCCTAACCTATTGCCCCTGTCTGCTAAAGTACCATCCATTATTTTTATTATGTTTCACTATTACAAAGAGTACTCCTTCAGAAATCTTTAGCTGCTCAATTAAGTGGAGTTTTTTTTTGTTGTTGTTGTTAATAATCACCATATTTCCATGTGCTTGTGAAAAAGGAAATTCTATTTGAGCTTGGTAGACTTTTAAATTCTTAGTAATGGTATCATTCAACTAGCAATAAATGGTTATAAAACAGGGCACAGATTTGGTTATTCAGAGTTGGATTATTCTGTTTGGGGATTATCAAGGACTATAAACTTTTTATCCTCTTCTAGCTACTCTTTTGAGGAATCAAAGTAGGGTCAGAGAAGGAGAACAATGGAGACATTTGCTTTCAGGGATCAACAGGGAGAGATAAAAGGAGCAAATCCATGTGATTTTTTTTAGGTGTATTTGCTTTTTACATCTATGGTTACTTTGTTTTAGTTTTTGGTTAGAGAAGCAATTGCTTGAGTTGGTTTAGGTTTTAATTATTCAAGGTTTCTGTGCCTCCAGATACAAGAATTGCCTGTAATACCATAATCCTATTGATTTATTTCAAAGTATGAAATACCGTTTATTTCTATATAATAGAAATATTATATGGCTTTATTCAAGGTTACATTTACAACATAGATATTTGGATTGATAATGCCAATGGCAGAATATAATCAGCTGGCATTATGTTAAAGTTGCTATGAACTTGATTTTATATTGTTTTAATATATCTGCCAAATTGCATGCTAGGAGACTGAAAGTTGATTTTAAGGGACTTACGTGATATTGTATACAAATACTCTGAAGTTTTATTGCCCCATGAAATATTATAGAAATATCTGTAGGCAGACTAGATGTGCGAATAGGGATGTCAGTAATAGTGATTTTGTGTGACTAAAGAGTCCAAGAGTTTGAACTCCTGTCTTGGGCAAACCCTGAAGATTTCATTGGATGGCTTCAAGATAGACTAGTACACAGTTAGAAACCAATTTAAATGGTCTTGGCAAGGAGAAAGGGAATCACCACTATAGTGTAGAGATAAACTCTTTGACGTTGGCATTAGCTTGCCAGGGGACCATATCCCATTGCTAACATTTGGAGGCTAGATTGTTACCACAGATAGTTCTACAGCTTTTTTGACATTACATACTTGCTTCAGTGAGAGTACTATAACAGAATCAAACAGATCTGGGTACCACTGTCTGGTAACTTGTGAAATCTTTCAAACAAACTGTATCCCAACAAAAACTATGCATTTAGAATCTATCACTCTCTATAGCACATGTATTGAGATTTAAATTCAGTGAACACGTATGTATGATACATAAATATAATTATATATGTGTTACCACATACATACATACAAAATTTAAATAATAAAGAATGGGAAAGAGTAATAGAAAAAAATAGTAAAAATTAGAATCTAGGAGAAGAATTATATGGAAAATGTAAGAATTAGTGAGTGAAGAGGGTAGGTAAGAATGAAATGGAATGAGGAATAAGAGAATTGCTAGGTAAATTCGCAGCACTTTTACCAAAAAGCACTATTTAATATAATGCTATTCTTGTAGCTGTGTGAGATTTTTGCCTTATTGAATTGGACATCAGGATAACACACTGTTATTTTAGTGTATCACCTAGATCAGAGGCTATATGACATAAATGAAAAAAATCATAGAACTTGGGAGTTGAAAGACATGAATTTGTCACATTCAACTAGTTACTAGCTGGGTAAATGTTGTCATGTCAGTTTTAATAAGCCTCGGTTCTGTGTTCTATAAAATGTAGGTGGTGATAATGTTTTACATTTTATTTCCCTCTACTGATCTGGAAATTATATATTCTATTTCTATTTTTACCCTTATAATTTTAACATGCATATTGAAATTAGTAAAGTCTAAAATTATCATTATCTTTATCCTCTTCTAAAACACATCAAGGATCTTAGAACACTTTAATTTTACCATACCTTGCCCATTTTATGTATAATTTTTATATAGTGTTTTTGTTAATTTTGTTTTATATCTTCTAAGTAGTCATCTTTTTTTAAGTACTGTCAATATTTATTTCAATTTATTCACAAACAAATTTTTTGCTTACTACTGCTTTTTGCATCTCTTTTCTTGGGAAGAAAGAATATCCTTTAGGATTTTTTTCATTGGCATCTACTAGTGGTAAAATTATTTCAGATTTGATTTGTCTAAAAATGTCTATTATATTATCTTGTTGATGGTTTAACTGAATATAGAATTCTAGGTTGACAGCTTTCTTTCAGCACTTTGGAGATATCATTGTATTGTCTTCTGGCTTCTTTACTCTCACTGAAGAGTCTGTTGTTGCTCCTTTGTAGGAGGATGCTTTTTCTCACTGTTTGTTTTTATGATCTTTTCTTTGATTTTGGTGTTCTGTATTTCACTTCAGTGTGTCTACTACAATTATCTTTTTTGGGGTTTAAGTTGCTTCTGGAATCTGAAGAATCATGCCTTTCATGAATTCTGGAAAATCCTCAGCTGTTATTTCTTTCAGTCTTTCTACTTCTCCATTGTCTGTATTCTGTCATTCTGTATCCTCCATCTGATCAACGTCGGTACTTTTCATTATAGTCATACATTGCTTAATGACAGAAATAAATTCTGAGAAATGTGTCACTAGGTGACTTTGTCATTGTGTGAACATCATGTAATGTACTTACGCAAAGGTAGATGGTATAGCCTGCTACACACCTAGGATATATGGTATAACCTGTTGCTCCTGGGCTACAAACCTGTACATCGTGTCACTGTGCTGAATACCATAGGCAGTTGGAACACCATGACAAATATTTGTATATATAAACATGGAAAAGATACAGTAAAAAAATGGTATAAAAGATTAAAAATGATACATATGTATAGGGTACTTGCTGTGAATGAAGCTTGCAAGATTGGAAGTTGCTCTGGGTCAGTCAGTGAGTGATGAGTGAATATGAAGGCCTAGCACATTACTGTACTGTAGATGTTATAAACACTATATACTTAGGCTACACTAAATTTATTAAAAATATTTTTCTTCAATAATTAACCTTAACTTACTATAACTTTTTTACTTTATAAACTTACAACTTATTAAAACTTTTAAATTCTTTTGTAATAACCCTTAGCCTCTTAGCTTAAAACACATATTGTACAGCTATATAAAAAATTTTTTTATGTCTTTATTATATAAGCTTTTTTCTATTTAAAAAATGTTTTTACTTTTTAAACTTTTGTTGAGAACTAAGGCACAAACACACACATTAGCCTAGGTCTACACGGGGACGTGATCATTAATATCACTGTCTTCTACCTTCACATCTTGACCCACCTGAAGGTTTTCAGGGGCAATAACATACATGAAACTGTTCTCTCCTATGGTAATAATATCTTCTTCTGGAATACCTCCTGAAGGATATTCCTGAGGCTGTTTTATAGTTAATTTCTTTATATAAGTAAAAGGAGTACACTTTAAAATAATGATAAAAGTTTTAGCATGGTAAATATATAAACCAATAACATAGTTGCTTGTTATTTTTGGCATACTGTACATAATTGTATGTGCCATACTTTTATATGACTGGCAGTGTAGTAAGTTTGTTTGCACCAGCATCACTTCAAACATGTGAATAAAGTGTACACTACAATGTTATGGCAGTGACAGTGTCACTAGGCAATAGGAATTTTTCAGTTTCATGACAGTCTTATGGGGCCACCATTGTTTATGCAGTCTTTCATTGAACAAAACATTTTTTTATGCAGCATGTGACTATATCCTACATCTCTCTAACCTATCTTTCAAGT